TGTGTGTGTGTGTGTGTGTGTGTGTGTGTGTGTTGTGAGCACGCAGCACACATGAACACACAGAAGAGATTTTATGAATGGAAGCATACCTTGCTTTGCCTCATTTCTTTAAAATATTCTGATGCGCTTCACATAATGATTTATCTGCCCAGCTGGTGTACTTTAAATTAGAACAATGAGGATGTTTTCATGTTTTCATGAAGTCTCCCTAAGTGGGCATGCCATCTTTTCTTGTGTAATAAATATAGGCATCAGTCAAATGGTCTCTTTATTCTACCCTAGGTTCCCACCTGCTGATCATATGGCCTTGGAGGATTGCTAGAGGCACATTTGGCTTTTCATAAAGGTCGTCACAGCAGTCCTCTGAGACTGAGATGCCTATGGATGATTGTGGGACCAAAACTTGGCTTTCAGGCACTATCAAAGATTCAAGCCAATAGGAAGCCTGAGGGGAAATCAACTCTTCCACTTTTGAAAGACTGGTATGCCTGCTACACACTGATACAATCTTTTCTACAGAAAACAGTGAAGCTTGCTTCAGCTCCAGAAGGCAACTCTCATTGCTTACATGACACTGAGAATAAAATATAGAGATCATTATCCATGCTCATCTAAGAGCCTGCACTGTTAGGAGCCTCATTTCAAGTCCCCTTCAGGGAACAGGGTGTTTTCTTCTCATTCTTAATCATTGTTCTTACCATCGACTAATATAAAATCAATAAACTTCACTCTTCTTGCCTAAGGAGACATTTATTCTTACAGCAAATTACTGGATCCATGTGATGTAGCCTCCATTCTCTTCTTCCTTCCTTAGGCATCTGCTCGCCTGTTGTAACACAAATTTTAAAAGGTCTTATTAATAAAAAAAAAAAACCTGGAGCCAGATATTGGGGTAAAAGCTGAAAGATCAGAGGGATAGAACAAGCCAGCCACAAGTTCTTACTGCTAGGAAATCCTCAGCCTAAGAGAGAGCTACCTCCCGTATACTCATGCCTATATACCTTTCCATGCCCTGCCAACTTACTTTCTCTCTCCATCCAGCTACATCACTTCCCCTTTCCGCCCAGCTCTATCACTTCCTGTCTGTCTGTATAGACCTCCAGACCTCTATGGTTAACTAGTGCTAAGATTAAAGGCATGTCTACACAGCTTGGCTCAGTTCCCATTGTGGCCTTGAACTCACAGGGATCCAGATGAATCTCTGCCTCCCGAATGCTAGGATTAAAGGCACGTGCTACCACTGCTTGATTTCTATGTTTAATATAGTGGCTGGCTTTTTTCTTTGATCCCCAGATAAGCTTTATTTGTTAGAGCACAAATAAAATACCACCACAGCTTGTCTCTTTGACCCAGTGGCTTTTCCACTCTGGGATGAACTTGACACCCTCTGCTGTTTGTGGGAAGCAAATGTTGTTTACTCCATCAGAGGCTGCTGGCTTGGACTGGTACAGGGAGAGAAGACATAAGAGAGTTGTTCTTTGCCAGACACCTGTCTTCTTTGCTTCCTAGAGATATTATCTTTCCCCTCATATTCTTCACACTGTACCCAATAGAGTTGTACCACGTTATATTAATCCAGACATCAAGATATGAGGAAAAAAAAACCTGAGCTTGCCATGGGAGGCCAGGCTTCTTTATATATTTTTTATTAACTTTTATTATAATTATAATTATTTTCATTCATTTTACATACCAAAGATCCCCCTCTTCCCTCCTCCTGCCTCCCCCCAGCCTCCCCCTCCAAACCCATCCCTCATTCCCACCCACAGAAAGGCAAGGCCTCCCCCATGGGGAGGCACATCCAGTAGAGGCAAGTCCAAGCCCTTCCCCCTGCCTCAAGGCTTCACCAGGTGTCCCTTCATAGGCAGTGGGCCCCCAAAAGCCCCCACATGCACCAGGGATGGATTCTGATCCTACCACTAGGGGGCCCCCAAGCAGATCAAGTATACAACTGTCTTGCCATGCAGATGGCTTAGTCCAGTCCCATGCAGACTCCATAGCCATTGATCCAACTTTCGTGAGTTCCCACTAGTCTGGTTTGGTCGTCTCTGCAGTTTTCCCCATTATGGTCTTGATGCACTTGCTCATAGAATCCCTCTTCTCTCTCTTTGACTGAATTCCTGGAGCTCTGCCTGATGTTTGGCTGTGGATCTCTGCATCTGCTTCCATCAGTCATTGGAGAAAAGCTCTGTGATGACAGTTAGGGTGTTCACCAATCTGAGCAATGAGGCAAGCCAGTTCACTTCAGGCACCTTCTCCACTATTTCTAGTAGTCCAAGCTAGAGTCATCCTTGGGGATTCCTGGCAACTTCTCTAGCACTGGGTTTCTCTCTATCCCCATGGTATCTCCCTCCATCATGGTATTTCTTTCATGGCTTTCCCACTTCATCTCTGTTCCATTCTCTTATGTTCTCATCCCCTAGCCCCTATCCTCCATTGCCCACCCCTCATACCCAGTTTACTCATGGAGATCTCATCTATTTCCCCTTCCCAGGGTGACCCAAGCATCCCTCTTTGGGTCATCCTTGTTAGCTAGCTTCTCTGGAGTTGTGGGTTGTTGTCTGGTTATCCTTTGGTTTATATCTAGTATTCACTTATGAGTGGGTACATACTATGCTTGTCCTTCTGAGTCTGGGTTACCTTACTCAGGAGTGCAAACTTGTATAGCCACTTTGGAAATCAGTGTGATTGTTTCTCAGATTTTGGGAATCAATCTTCCTTAAGACCCAGCTATACCACTCTTGGGCATATACCCAAGGAATGCTCAATCATACCAGAGGGACATATGCTCAACTATATTCATAGCAGCATTATTCATAATAGCCAGAACCTGGAAGCAACCTAGATGCACCTCAACTGAAGAATGGATTAAGATAATATGGTACATATACACAATGGCGTACTACTCAGCAGAGAAAAACAATGACATCACGCAATTTGCAGGCAAATGGATGGAACTAGAAAATATCATTCTGAGTGAGGTAACCAGGAGTTCTTAAGTTCTTAAAATGCCAGTGTCTCATTATACCATGAAGGATATGAGATAAAATTAACCATGTCCTCAGGTTGCAAGTCACCCAAGTAAGGCTTTATATCAATATGATGCTCTGTACATCTGTAATCAACAGCAAGTGTAGACTCTCTCACATCCAGTTCATTCTGCCTTTGAAGTCCAGCTGTAATCTCATATATCTTCTCAGACTTTCCTTAGCAAACTCAGTCCTTACAGCATCTCCTGCTTAATACCTCAGTGTATTGGTTCTCTGTGTTACAGGGTACATGAGATGGTGTTATTTCCCTAGATCAGATTGATCCCTCACCCACTTACAGACAGTGTGGTTAGGGGAAGTGAGCTAAGTAGACCATGCTTCTCCTGGCTTGCTGTGTCATATTTTCCATGTATACAGATAATACCCCTGGATTCATATTTCACAGAGCCTAATTAATGATACTGTAAGGTTTTTCTGACTGCAACTATTTATGAAACTTTGATCTAATCAGTGTCATATAGAAAAGATTCTATATTTGACATTGTGATTTTAACCTCAGACTACATGATTGACAGAGTGTTTGTTTCCCAGAGGGGCATCAGAGCCCTTTGAGCCCCTGACATCCTCAGAAGGTAGGAGTTGGAAAAGAAATTTTTGCATCCTTATTGGAAACAAACAATAGATCAAATACACTCAGCAAAATGACAGCCTAATCATACCTCCCTTCTCTAACTGAGATCCTGGGAGCCTGTGAAGACTTGGAATCATTAAGAACTGCATGAAGGGACATTTGACTGGGATCATGGTGGTAGTTCTGACCTCACACAGTGGAGTCTGCAGAGGTCAGGGCTATATTCAATTTTACCTTCAGAGCTTTGGGCTCTGTTTCCTGTAGATGAATGGTCTTATTAAATAAGAAACACAGAGACAAATGCCGAGTTAATAGCCCAAGAGGTCAGAGCAATAGCTAAGAGCTAAAGACCTTTCCCTTCACTGCCGCTGCTGTCCTACCTCTCCGCAAGCGACCTAATTCCTGTGTGTTTGTCCTTTTTATTGACTTTCTGTTCTGCCTTCTCATAGGTTGTAAACCCAACCACATGACCTCCTCGTCACTGCCTGTCTGTACAGAACTCCAGGTCTTCAATGGTTGGTATTGAGATTAAAGGCGTGTGTCTCCATGCTGGCTGTATTCTTGAACACACAGAGATCCTCCTAGCTCTGCCTCCCAAGTGCTGGGATTAAAGGCATGCACCACCACCACCCAGCTTCTGCTATGGCTTGCTATTAGCTCTGACCCCCAGGCAACTTTATTTATTAACATACAAATAAAATCATATTTCAGTACAAATAAATTATCACCATGGTTTCCCATAATGTGCACTCTTATATCAGCTGGCTATAAATTGGAATTCTGAGATCACTTGTGAAATTCTCATAAAAGATTTAAAATTACAGTGGCACCCTTTCTACTTTCAGGAATAAGGTAAATTATCAGTATGTGCCTCGTGGGTGATGCCAGGAAGATGACACCATCCATGTGCCCACCAAGGTAGCAGAAACATGCTCTTTAGTCAAGACTGAGTCAAACACTGCTTATAAAATGTGGGTGTCTCAGGGTGTCTTCTGTGGTAATACAGAAGAAGGTACAGCCTGACCTTAGTACTACTTCAGATGTATTTACACACAAATGAATACACATGTGAAATTCTCAGAAAAACTAAAAATATGAATATATACATATATACATGGATATGTTCACCTATTATCCTAAACCAAATCAATATCTACTAATATCTTTCACTGTATAAGGCATATACTGCTGTTTCCTGCCTCTGCTATCTCCTCCATGCAGCCTCCTACCAGAAAGAGAAGTATATTCTCTCAAAGAAGCTGGTGCCAGACAACGTCCATATTCCTTCATGCAGATAATAATACTAAAGGCAAACATTAAATGAGTGCTTAGTAAGGATCCAGAGTTGCTTAAGGAAGTAGATGTGTGTATTTCATTTAATTCTTATAAAACATTAAGAGGTCAGGAAATCTTTATATCCACCTTTATTGTAGAGATAAGAATAGGTTGACTTTACAAAGGTTTGTATCAGAGCAACGAGGAGAACACACAGAGCTTGGTTCTATGACTTGTGTGCTCAGAGCGAGCCATATTTCACTCTTGCTGTCTGTGATGGTTAATGTCAGTTATCAATCTGGCAGGATCTGGGAACACCTGGAATATGAGAAACTGTCGGAATTAGATTGACCCATGGGCATTCCTGAGAGGGATTTTTTCAGTTCCATTGAAGAGGACAACACCATTTCTTAGCTGAGTGCACAACCGAGTTAAAAGGAGAGTGGTAGTTGCACACAAGGAAAGGTCTCTTTCTGCTTCTTGACTCCAGATGCCATATGACCCGATAACTTGATCTGCCATTAAGACCTCCCACAACGAGTGTCTCTGTAACCAAAAACTCTGAGCAAGAATAAAGCATTTCCCTGGCCACAGCACCAAGAAAAGAAACTAAGACAGTGGAAAAACAACATTTTCAAATTCATCTTCGCTCACTTAAACAAAATCTGAGAACAAACTGGGTGCCAGCACAGGAGCTAAGGGGAAACAACCTGACTGGCCTGTCCTTTGTCATCCTGTGTACTGGTTCTAATGGTGTCTCCCCAGAGAGAAAGCTGTGGTATTTCATTGAGCATGTGTATCTATAACTGACACTTGAGGAACCTTAGCTGCAAAGTTTGAAAAGACAGGAGACTCTCTCATGCCCTGAAAACAGATGAAATGTT